GTTTTTGAATTCCACCAGGTAATAAATTGTTCCTGGCTTTATACATAAACACTGCAGTCTTATATCCCACTAAATTAAAATTTTTTTTTAACAATTTAGACTGTATGAAAGCTCCATATATATGATCCCTATACCCCATCTTATGCACAATTCTTATTGCTCTTTTTTGTAATATATACAATGGTTGAAGTGAGCTTTTGTATGTATTTCCCCAGTTTTCAACGCCATACTCCAAGTATGGTAAAATCAATGAAGAATACAAAATGCGTAGTGCTTTCCCGTCCAAAATATATCTAACCCTTGCCAATATCGATATATTCTTTGCTATTTTGTGCTGAGCATATCTGATATGAGATTTCCAGGAGAGTTTGTCATCAACTATGACACCTAGAAATTTAATTTCATATACTCGTTCTATATTAGCTCCCCCAATTTCCAGAATTTTTGAAAATTGTGACAACAGAGAAACCGGTCTATAATTTGTGAAGTTGTGCTTATCACCAGATTTATACAGAGGAATAACCTTTACTATTTTCATATTATTGGGGAACTGACCAAGTCGAAACGACATGTTAAAAACATGGGTTAATGGTTTGCATATCCCCTCAATTGCCCATTTAACCATTGTCATAGTGATACCATCACTATCACTGGATGATTTATTACCACATTTGTTCACTATCTCTATAATTTCCTTTTCAACTATGGGCTTCAAAAACATAGAACTCATGTTCCTTTCAATTGTATTATTATTTATAGTGACAGATGTATCATCTGTACAAATGCTTCTTGCTAAACCAGGACCAACATTCACAAAGAACCTATTAAACTTTACTACTACATCCTCCAATCTATTAACCGGTGTATCATTATCCATAAAATATTGAGGGTAGTTACTCTTGCTGGAACTATTTCTAATCAATTTATTTAATATATTCCAAGTACCTCTCATGTTATTTTTTATTATCCTCAAATACTTTAGAGTAATATAGTTTCTTACATCTCCTCAATCTCAATTAATTTGTTCTTATATGACTTATATTTTTCTTGACATTGCTGTTAAACTGCTCATCCGTGTAATACTTGCCGTTATTTTCAGAGTTCTTAAAAAAAAGTTTTTTTCAGGGTCAAAATCTTTGTCCGGTTCATGATCATGAATTTCACTATTCCCAATAGTGTTCAGTTCCAGCTCCAGTCCCTCAAAATCTATTAACGTCTGTAACAAATCACTTGCCTCATACATAGGTCATGCTTGTTGTTGTTGAATCCAACGCTCATCTGCCGTCGCATATTTGTTTAGGTTTCACTCACACCCCCAGAAAAAGACAAATGACATTGATTACATCATTAATAAGAGAAAAGGGTGGCTGAACTGATTCAAAGATAGAAAGATGACTTCAGTTAATGAATGTGGCAATAGGAAACCCATGATTCAAAATTAACATGTCCCAGATGTGACAGCAATGAAAATGTTTTTAATGGGTATGGAACAGTTATTTGATTTTGGAGCTTGGCTCGATTTAAAAATAAATCCAGAAGAAGCAACCCAGTGGTAATAGCTAAATTATGTGGGGCCTGGTCAGTAGAGTCCAGCTAATATTTGTCGAGCATAGTTATTAAAAAAAAAAAAATATGCCAAACATACATGAGCCCATTTAGAAACGGCATCTTTATTACATAGTTTGTCCATCATAGAGCACCTCTGCAATTTTTTAACATACATTTGCAATTAGTACATACTGTATATTGGTCACATTTTTATAGCAAAATTTAAAGGGTCGAAAATTAGACAAATATCGGTGTCATCCCTTTAAAAAAAAAAAAATAAATTTGGGCTCTACCTATGAGTTTGTTTACATTCCGACTTCACTTAACATCAAGCTACACATGATTGGATAGCACAGTTTTAAAATGCACAAGGAATATTAACTTTGTGTCAGTGGGATGGCAGCTGGGCAAAGAATCTTTACCGGGCTGTCGGACTGCAGAAATATACTGAAGAAATGGTTTTCATGTAGGCTCATCAGGAAGAAATCAGTATTTTATTATGTATGGATTCATTAATTTTTTTCAAATTCCCTGGCTCGCTACAGATGGAGAGTGCAAAAAGCTCCAAGTTGCATCAGAAGTCTGATCAGTCATCACAGATACCATAAGAAGTTTGCAACACAAAAGTGTTGGAATTGTGTGGGGGGGAAAAAAAGTAAAGCTTATAAAATGGTGAGTTTTACTTTGATGTGTTTTCTCTTACAGCCCTGCGAGGCTTCAGAGGCCACCAGCTGATTCACTGAGAGATTCTCGTTCACTCAGTTATTCTCCACCAAGATACATGAGAGCACTGACATCCTCATCTAGCCACAGGTCTGTACCAGCAGAGACCTTCACACTAAGAATTAAAAACAGTCATTCAGTGTGCTGATATGCACAATTTGACCCACACTGGTGGTGGTTTTTTATCTATTTATTTATTTTTTTAATGTATTTGCAGTTTTTGGCAAAATAGGGTTTGGGAAGATGAAAATTTAGAAGGGCGGGCAAACATTCACCAACAGACTTTATGAACATTAAGTTTATCCACTTGCAGAGCAGTCAGTATACATCCCTACAGTGTGCTGACCTCGACAGCTAGCCTTACTAGCTTGCTAATAACATATCAAAAGAGTTGGATCACTGTGATTGACTGCGCATAGAGAGGAGGAGCTGCTTGCAGAGGCCTCCCTTGTCATGGTTGTCATGCATTTGTGTGCATGAGAGAGAAATTGAGTGGGGCACAGGGGGCCTGAACAAGTATATGTACTCTGCATGGCACGACGCATAAATAGATTAAATCTTATTTTTAAATGAGTATGTAACGGTCAGTGTTCATATTGTGGCCGCCTTCCACAGATAATGTGTGGGAAACACTGCAGCGTACTGTGACTGAGTCACATTACATGACAGTTGTGACATATTCTCTAAACACATGAACAGAACATATAGTAGATCCCACAGTTTGGCAGTAACATTGACTGGACAAAGTGGTTTCTACAGATCTGAGTTGTGTTTTTTTCTTTTCTTCCCCCCCCCAGTCTTGATTCCTTTTCCCAGAAATCTACAACATTCTGACTTTCTATACTTAAGACTTTTTACACAAAGACCCACGTTTAATATGTAAAGTTGGAAAAAAATTCCTTGAGCTTTGTTTTCACATCTAGCTACAATAACTGGTGGATGCTTTTGTTTTGATGTACTTCTGTTTCAAGTCATTTGACTTTGCTTGTGGAAACGCTTCCCATAAATACAGGTTTATTTCTATTTAACACAACTGGAAAAAGTGATGCTGATGCATAGCAAGCTTTTAGAAATGATGATTTCTTCACTGTCCCCTCTGGGTAGGAGTGGCAGCAGGCCATCGCCAAGCCGCTCATCAAGCAGCAGACAGAGGAAATGAGCTGACAACTCAAGACGCTTCACTACTTCTGGGTTGTTTCTCTGTTAACCTCCGGCTGGTTTGAACTGGGCTACAATATGGACTTCAAAGTCAGTGGTCAGTAGATACTCATCTGGAATTGTCAGGGGACTCGCTTTGGTTCTGAGCCACCACACAGTAATCCCCAATGTGTTTGTTTTTTAAGCAGCGATGACCTGAGGCTGGCTTGTACATTTCTTTTTAAGAGCCGAGTAAGCACCATACACATTGATACAGTTAAGTACAACATAACTAATAGCAATGTCCCTCGGTACTTGTACTGTTTGTTGAGTTCTACCTGTAGATATGATCTGTCTGTATTTTGTTTACTATGTAACAGATATGTGATTTCCATTTAATGTGCGCAGTAACTGAAACCTGATTAATTTCTGGAAATGGTTAATAATAATAAAAGGCAATTGTGCATTTTATTTGTGTGGAATGTGTCCTTTTGTTTAGTGTGGTACATCAAACCTGATATATCTTATTGTCAGCAAATTTCATTAAAAGAAAACAATGAATGTGTCCTACTAAAAAGTATTGTGTGTGTGTGTGTGTGTGTGTAAAAATGTGGATTAATCTGTTGATGACTATCGTCCACAACAAATAAAATATTTGCCCCTGTTTGAGTAAAGTTTGCTAAAATCCAGTGTCCAGTTGTCTTAAGGAAATTGGCTTTTTTTTTTTTTTTTTTTTAACGGGTGTTCTTAAAAATGCACTTCTTCAGTAGGAACCATTGGACATTTCTCAGTTTAGCATATGAAACAGACGTAAACTTTTTTCAAATTTCAGATTACTGAAGATGAAGGATAAGGTGAAAATCATGTTTTGTTGCTGCTCCAAATGAGCTGTGTGTAAAATATTGTCTCCATCATTACAGGCAGTTGGATGCAGCATAAACCTTAGTGATTGTGTGAATTACTTGAAGCTGAATTCATTCCTCTTCACTCCATGTCAAACATTCTCACTGAGCTGTTATGTATGTAGGCTACCTATAAATAATCACATACTGTACATTAGTTACTGTGCTGCTTTAAAACGGCAGTTTATTCGCTTTAAAATTGTGATAGAATCATTCATGTAGAGTATTTCTGACATTCTTACAGTGCTTCCAGTAGTGTGTGGTGGTGAAACAAAGAGAACGGAAAGAATATTCAGCTGTGACTGGACACTGGGTTTGGCTGCTGTTGCAATAATGAAACTGGGATGGCGACATCGCTGTTTGGTGTGTCTTTACTGGTAATTTCATTTGTCACACAAGTTTCAGATGTACAGAAACTTCCGTTTTTGAACACTAGCGATTTTGGTTGAAGTTCAACTGGTGATGATGTAAAGCCTTTGTTAAGTAGGCTACGTAATCGGTAAGATGTAAATGGAACTGAATGCTACGTTTTTGTTTTGGTGTAAAGGGTATAGACATATTTAGAAAAGATCCGGATCTTGTTCATAATTTTGGCAGAGATGGTGGTTGCATTGCTTAATATTGAGCAGGCTTAATCAGCCCTTTATGACATCGCGGTCCTATAGCCTAATTATAGATTAAAGCATTTTCCTTTATTTTTGTTTAACCTTATATGAACTAATTCAGCTTAAGAAAAAGAAAAAGGTTTTTGCTCTAGACCCTAACTTTTGACAGCGGTTTCATGGTGAAACTTTCCCACATCAGTTGAGCACTGCGAGTGAGTGAGTGAGGCTGAGTTTGAAGAAGCCCGAAACCGATTAACGATCAACCCAGCTGAGCTCTGTTTGACTGATGCGCACATTTTCATACAATTGCAGTACGGGTGTTCGGAGTGTCCAAAAAGCGAAATGGGTAAGATGCCGGGTGCGTCCGAAATTGCCTGCTGTATAGTAGGCTAAAACGTATGCGAGACGCGTAGTATGTCCAAATTCTTAGAATGCAAAAATATATACGCCAGTAATACCTACGTTTTCTCCGATCACACGTACCGTAATTTCATGAAAAGATGCGCAAAGCTGAACGGCGGTTGGGTTGACGGAGTTTTTTTTTTTTTTTTGACCGCAGTACGTGAACGCAACAGAATCAGATGGCTAGAGTGGGTCATCAGCTGCAGTCAGTCAGGTGTGGTTGCGAAGACATTACTAGCAGATCCCTCCGGGACAAAAACAAGATTTACAGCAGATTTGTCTAATGACCCACCGACCAAGCAGCAAGAGCACCAAATGACAAACGTAGGTTGTTTTAAAATTTTTTGTTTGTTTTTAATACATCGCTGGTTCAAAGCTTCTCCGAGGAGTTAAAAGCTTTCTCACGTCTTGGGTGTTGAGAGCAAATCCGTAGCAGACCAGGGTCAGGCCCAGAGAGCGGTCAGTCCAAATTGGATTTAAAGAAAAAGCTAGCATTAGAGTTTTCTTGCTAATCGGTAGCGATACACGCCCAGTCTAAATAAATAAGTAAATAAATAAGAACATATTCTTTAACAAATGCTGTTCCTTTGTTTTTGGTTGAAGTTGACAGCGCTCACCCTAAAAAGTGTTTTATTAAATTTGATGTCTCATACTGTTAGCGTTATGGCATTACCAGTAAGTTAACTGCAGAGATTTTGGCAGCTGAAAGTGTAGCAAACCGTTGAAACCAACCGCTGTTTAACGTCCATGCAAGTCAATATCATGTTATTTAATGTGTGCCGAACTGAAGAACGTTTTTCAAGTAGTCGTTCACATATGCACATATGTAGAAAGGGGGGTGGATGTTGTATCATCGCATTTAATTAACAGAAAAGGGGCATTTTCGTGGGAAGTTTGGCGTGTTGTCGCAATGGGACAAATTTTATGTTCCTCGATCGACAGTGAGCTGCAGCCCAGGCAAGTAAAAGTTAGTCTTGTTGTAGATGTTCAATTTAAGCAAGTTGACACCGTTTAATGACGATCTTCAGATGAACTGGTGACCCGTAGACAGTGAAATATGCTCTTGTCGCGTTCGTGGGAATTTTAAGCCAAACTACGTTCAAAATCTTATCACCAAACCAGCAAATGCCTGTAACATTACCCATATTAAACGTTTTAAGACTTTTATCAAATGGCGTATGCACTAAGTTAAATTTCTTGCAAATAATTTGCTGTTCGCAGTTGTTGTCTACTACTCAAATATTAATTTTTATGGGGTAAAAAGTGCAGTTCGGGGGCTTAATATAAACCGAATTGAATGATGACCAATGTAAGACTCGGCAAAACCTACAACTGTATTTGCAATTGTTAATAAAAAAAAAAAAAAAATCCTTGGTTCTCTTTCCATGCAAAGGCAAGGTCCCATTCGTTGCTTTTCTTAGGCAGCTTTTCCTGTTTTCATGGAAACTGTGCCAGCGGTAGCTAGCCTAGCTCTCCTGCTCTGCCTCCCTGATTTAGCTTGTGCCAGCCAGGAAGAGGCAATGGCGGCTGGACAGTCTGACTGTCAAGGAGCGTTTGCTGTTGTTATCTAGTTAAGTTGTAGGATGTTTACAGACAAGGCAGGATGAGGGAAATTAGTTCAGTGACTCAGCTGTTGTTAGAGGAGCAGGGAGGGAGGTAAAGAGAGGTACACACCTCATATAGCAATTAAAAATGAATAATAGTGAGCTGTTTGATCTGTGTGATTTGGTCTAACGTCATAACTTTTCCCTCGCTCTCTTTGTTTAACAGATTTTAAACCTGGGCTCAAGAACTAAGAAGTGAATCCTCATGTAATGAGACAGGAAACGGTTGCCTACTTTACACAGCTACAAGAGGAACTGAAGTGACAGTAAGGGATCAACCCAAAGGAACCTCAGCAGATGTAACCACTACTGAACTGCAGTGAAAAGGTGGATCATCTTAGTTTGCTGCTTCTTTTAAATAAGAGATGGAGCTGATGAGTAAGCAGTGGAGGAGTTTGGGGCAGTAATTGGCAATAGCTGGATTTATGACCACTTGTCAAATTCACCTGTCCGTTTGAATGTCGCAGCAGCAACCACAAAATGCCAGATCTCCCTGTCAGGATGTGTGATCTTCAAAGACGGAAGTGAAGACATTACATTCAATGTGGGACTGCATCTAATGGAGAGAGGAGGGAGTCTCATCACTGCACTGACAGAACTGTGAATGTAAATATCCATAAGTCATCACTCTGAAGCTGGAAATCCCCAACAAGACTTTGATTGGGTGGAACTGGAACTAAGGTGGAGCTATGCAGCCAGTTGTAGCTGTCAAGCATGAGTCATAGATGCAGAGCTTTTTGGAAATGTTCCATGTTCTGCTGGCTGCTGTGGTTTCACTTTGAGACCAAAGAGCATGATGTGAACATTTGAACTGAAACTCCAGGATAAATCAAACGTAAAGTGTGCAGAAACATCATTGGAAATGTCCTCTTATTGCCGTGGGAAAGCCTGTGATTTTTGGACAAACTCTTGTGGTACTTTGAGCGTGTAGCATTGGGAGGTGAAACAAAGAATCACTGCGGAGAGTAGGAATATCACTTCCTCCTATGAACCTAATTTTACTTCGAAATCCAAATGGCAGGGAAAGACTACAATCATCTCTTTAAGCTGCTCATCATTGGAGACTCCAGTTAGTATATTTTGATTCATTTTGGAATCACCTGAAGTTGCAACATGTTTAGTATGGAGTACCAGAAGTGGCTTTAATAGGCTAGTTTAAATTAAGACACATGATATCTTTTTCAGAGTAGACATTTTCACTTGTGAGCAGTGCAAAGGTGAGTTTGTTCCAGCAGTTACTGCAATGTAAAACAGTTGTTAACCAGGTTAATTTTAAACCTTTAACAAGGCAAAATGTCTACTGGTGAAAATGCCTTATATTTCCACACTCCTCACGGTCATGCCTGCCCTTGCAGTGCAACCACCATTTAAGTAACAGAACAGTGAGCTAAATATTTCAGATGAATAGTATAATTTTCCACATAACTCCAGCCTTTTGGTCAAGAGGACTGAAAGTTCATAACATGCATATGTGAGATGAGATGTGTAGTGATTGGAGAGGTAAGGGTTTGTGTTGTCCTTGTCAAGTCATGGTGAGGGGAGCCTGTTTTCTGATGATGCAAAATGAAGCTTTCCTGGTCTTATTGAGTCTCTGTTGAAACAAATGTTCTGCAAGTTACCCACGCTTGAATATTTTACATTTAACCTGGTCTTACACCATGTTTTGACCTCTGTGGAGACCCATGTCAGAGTTTCAGACCTCCATTCTGCTGTTTCTGTTGACCTGTAAATTTACTTCAGTCATATCTGGTACATGGTGTTTCTCTCACCTACTTTATAGGCTAAATAACACCAAAGAATGAAGGGCACAGTTTTTGTTAGCAACTACCACTTTCACAGAGTAACGGCCACGGTACAGCGTCCTCTACAGTAACACTCTATGATGGAATATGGTGTAACCCTGCACGGTGTTGTTCAGCTAGGGTCCATGAAAGCTTCTGAAAGAGGATCACTGATTTAATCCACTTGTGTGTTGTTCCTTCTGATAATTAACATAGAATGTAGGTATAGGAAGTAAACAAAAATTAACAGATTAACATTAAGACATTTTAAAGAATAGAATATTGAAACGCCTCAAAGCTTTGACATCAGGCCTAATCACTATTGTTGTCTGGGAGTGAGCTGTGCACAGCTGAGGCTGGGAATTTTGAGGATGTTATCAGTTCTGATTCACTTACTGATATAGATCTTACCAAGTTCTCCTCAGATTCGTGTTGTTGGAGTATGAAAAGTCCCAAAACATCCATTTATTTAGAAATTATGTTGGCTGGTCTGGTAACATAGAAAAATCAGTTTTTAAAAGTGTTGCAGGAAGTCCTGAGGTGCTGTGGGTCACCTTCATACCTGCAGCAAAGTCAGTGATTAGATATACGGTGGTATACAGTGATTAGATTTTCATATGCATCACTTTTGAGCTCCAGTCCACCATTTTCTAGATACTATACACGTGTGCTGTTACAGGTTAAATTTTCCTTTAGTGGAACAAATTTGAAGGGTCTCCTTGAGGAGTATTTCCTCAAATAATTCTCATGAAGGCACTTTTTAAATCCGTTTCAGTTGAACAGGATGAACTTTCTGCATGTTAACAGCAGCATTTGTAGAGAAGTAGTCAGGGTTCACTTGCTGCTGATGGCTTCCACAAGTTTAATTTGTCACTTGTCTTAACCAGCCCTGCCTAGTTTTGTTTAAAGAAACTGTTTGAATTATTTAACCCACTGTTTTTATTAATTGATGAACTCACAAGCGCTTTGACTCATCAGGCTGCCTGTTTGTGGCATTTGTCGCTCCTGGGACAGCACTTTAATACATCTTGTTTCATTATTGACTGAGGCAGAAGTGTTTTCCTGGTTTGCCTGCAGACATTTAGCCTTTTGCCAGGTCATAGTAAATGCAAGAAATCAGCATTTTCACCATGCGTTTTCCTCTTCTATTAATTACAATTAATTTCTTCCTTAGATTAATTCCTTTCTTGCTTTGTTTTACTTGTATTAATGGAAGAAGCTGTCAATAAGGATGAGATGGTCTTATCTTTTTCAGAGTGAACCTCAGACAGAACTGACTTGTCTGTTCCTGACTTGTCACACTCATTTCCTCAACGCGAATTACATGCCAGTCTTATCGCTCTGATCTCTTTGTCTCTCTCAGATGTGGGGAAAAGCAGCCTTCTGCTCCGCTTTGCAGATAGCTCCTTCTCTGGTGAGTTACCACACCTCTATTTAAGTCACATGAAAGATGACACTAGAGCTCAGAGGCTTACATGTATTAGGCTTTACTTTTAGGCAGAGACATAAAAGCATTTTTTTGAGACAAGGCATCTTGTCTCCAGGGTTTATCAGAGCTGTCCTAACCTGTCAGGAACTGCAGAGGGAGGCAGAATTCTGGACAACATGCAGACAGTTTGGGGGAAGGGTGGAATATGTTTTTGTTTTTTTTAAATAAGAATGACAGCAACCTTCTTCAAAAATACTGACTGCATGAAATGTAATCTTCAAAGCTATGCATATTTGTCTTGCAGTTTCCACACAAATGCACCACATTCCATGCAGGTGCTTTTAGATAATGTTTTTTGTTTACTAGACCTTCACTCTAGTTGTAGGTGGGTGGAGCTACTCTGAAATTTTGTAAGGTGTCTAACACTAACACAGTGAAGTAGATGTTCATCTGTACAGAGCTCAAACTAGGGCCTAATCAAAGCAAGTAAACATTTGTGTGGTTTGAACATCAGTGTAAAGGGGCTTTAATTGCTGCAACAGCACAAATTACAAAGTCCCCTAAAGGTTGTTTAGTTTTTAAATCTACAAACAAACTTCAGCGTGTCTGAAAAGGGGCCTCACAATTGGGCTTCTTCCTGCAACCAATGCTGTTGTAATTATAAATACCCCAAGCCGAGATGATTTGACACATTCCAGATAATTTGAGAACAGTGTCAGCATACAGTATATAAACCATTGTGAATGGAAAAAATGATATTGCTTCATTCCAGTATGTTCTTTTCCCAGTTTAACCCAGTTATTGGAACATATGTTTTAGATGAAGCCAAAGTAACTGTATAGATACTGTAATACAAACTGTATTCATGCTCAGCTGTTCTAAGAATGGAGGTCAAAGTTTAAACAAGTTGTGCTACAAAATCTAACAGACCTCTGCAACAGATGGTTTGTGTTTTGAATGTTTTACTTCTAGTTGTCCTAAAACTAACTGTTGTATGGTGGGGGTACAATTTGTCATTATATTGCCGCTTCTTGTTCCAAGATGTGTGTAAATTGTTATCACTTGACAACAGCTTTAAAAAGCCAGATTTTCCCTTTAATGTTTGTGCATACAAAATGTGGCTACCAGACATCTTTCTGAAAAATTTCTTATGATATAAATGCTGAATCTTGGATCTGCTGTTTGTCATGAGACAAAATGTATGTGCCTGTGTTCAGATAGAGTAGGGTGTATGACCTCTTTTGTGCTGCTTTCTGATGGTTTGCTGGCCTCTTGCAGAAAGCTACATCACCACCATCGGTGTCGACTTCAAAATCCGAACAGTCGACATTGAAGGAGAGAGGGTGAAGCTGCAGATCTGGGACACAGCGGGGCAGGAGCGATTCAGAACCATCACGTCAACGTAAAAACTGGTTTTATGTGCAGGATATTTCCTCATTTTCCTTTTAGCCTCACCCACTTCATGCTGTTTCATGTTTCTTTCTCCAGATACTACAGAAACACCCACGGTGTCATTATTGTTTACGATGTGACAAATCCAGAGTCATTTGTAAATGTTAAGAGGTGGTTAAATGAAATCTCCCAGAACTGTGACAGCGTGTGCAAGATCTTAGGTGAGTCAATTGTGTTAATGTGAGTTAAAGGAGTTGTAATCTGCATGGTGGACAATTGTGTTAATGTGAGTTAAAGGAGTAATCTGCATGGTGGCGTGTTGTCACATTCAGACTGGCACATTTACTGCCTGGACAGTCTCACTGGAGAGCTGCCTTAGAGCAGACATGTCTTGGAACAAGGAACCAAAACTAAAACAAGGTTTCTGTAGTTGAAATAAAAATAAAGTTAATGAGTCCAAAGGTTCCTGGAAAAGTTCCTGCTCATGCATACTCTGTTCTGTTAGGGCTTAAATCTGAGATTTAAGAAGAAATCAGCAACTTCAACCTGACAGAAACCTATTGCAACTATATACTAAAGTATGACTGACACAGATTGGGGGTATGTAGGGTTGTGACACCAAAGCATTAGCTCAGTGAGGTCATGTATGAGAAATGTATTGTTTGAGCCAGTTTGAAAACAAATGTTGAAGTTGTACCAGCTTTTAAAATAAATTGCAGTGTCTGATTCCCTCAGTGCATTATCAAGTCTTTGGAGGAGAACCCCTGAAATCATTGCAGTAATAAAAACATGCCCCCCCCCCCTTTTCACAGTGGGAAACAAGAACGACGACCCTGTCAAAAAACAGGTGGATACCCAGGATGCTATGAATTTTGGGGAGTCAGTGGGTGTTCGGGTCTTCGAGACCAGTGCCAAAGAGAACATAAATGTAGATGAGGTAAGTTAAAGACGGACTGCTTCCAGTCATTTTATTTCCAATACAGTATGTATAGCATTTCTTTCCATACATTTAAGCACGTTTGTCCTGCTGTTGATTAATCAGTTATTGATGCATGTTTCCATGTGTAGAAGCGGTTGTATTTTTCTGCATGTTTTTAAGTATTCAATTGGGTCAAAGGACATTTTGAAATAATTCTGATGACCCAGTCTGATTACTGTTTTGTTGCTTCATTTAGATGTTCATGGCCTTCACGCGCATGGTGCTCCGTGCTAAGAAGCAGAGCCAGAACAGAGCCGAGAGGGAACGAGAGCGAGAGAAGGACACCGTCAACATCACTGCCCAGAGAGACCGAGACCGCAGGAAGAAAGGGAAGAAATGTTGCTGAGATACAGACACCAAAGCCACCATTCACTCGTCGCTTTCACAGAAAGCATTCAAACAAGATGGGGGAAACCGTGCCTTAGGAGATAAGTGTTGGGTGTTTTATACTGCAGATACAAAGATCAGACTACAGTTTATTGTGCCAAGTTACAACACAGCAGTCTACAGGTTATACTGCTTAACTGCAGGTTGTTACAGTAACTGAGGCCAGGGGGCTTGCAGTGTCAGCACTGCATGTAGCAGCCTGGAGGTTACATGAGTTAAAGGACCATTCTGGTGTGTTTCAGTTTCTAGCTTGTGCATTACACAGCTTAGTGTTTGAGCTCTGCTTGTTAAGAGGACGGAAAAGTTGGTCTGCTCAACACTCCAAAAGAAGACCTCTAACGTCTTCATTATCCATTAATCTGCTAGCTATTTACTTGATTAAATGTTTGTTTTATATATAAAATGTCAGAAAATAGGACTGATTACGATTTGCTTAAGTCCAACCTGATGCTATCAAATTGCTTGTTTGGTTCCAACCCTGAAATATGTTCACACAACTTTTACATAAAGCAAAGAAGCAGAAGATTCTCACGGCTGGGAAGCTGCAGTAGAATCAGAAACATGTTTGGCATTTTTCTCAATTACCCTGAGACCCCCCTTTTTTTTTCCTAAGATGTGACATCTGGCTTGAGATCACACAAAAGTGGAATATCTGCACTTCCTTTCTCACAAATAACACAACTAAAGGCAAAGGAGGCATGAAGTGATCTAACCACTTTTAAAGCTCGAAGTAACTGCAAGTTGATTTTCTATCTTAGTGAAACATTTGATGCCCATAGGGCTAATAAGACTAATAAAAAAAAAAAAACCATCAGTCTGATTTGAAATGTGGTGGTGAGATATAGTATATGAGAGAAGACAAAAACACTGGTATGGTCCTTTAACTGTGCACTGGTGAACCACTGTCATGCTGATGTTGTTACTAAATTGTAACTTTGACACACTAACAGGTGTTATGAGTGCAGTCCAACATCTTTTAGCCTCATTTCTATTTAAATGAGGCCAGTAACCCAAGATCTTAATGTTGAGACAAATTTGAGCCCAAAATGTTTGTCATTACTATATAATTGTTTTTAAATGTAAATCTGTTTCCTAGCAAATGAGTCCAAATACAAATAAAGCAATACATCCTGAGTTATTGGCCAGTGGCTGTTTTTCCCATTTGGCTTTGAGAAAACTGAAATAATGTGATATAGATTAAATTGTCTTTAAAGATACAAAAACCCTGATTTTGTGTAGCGCTCAGTTATTTCTTTGAAGCATACCGTTTTGTTATTCTGACATTTTTCATATAAAATCTTAATCTGAAAAGTAACTAGTAATGTCAGTTATCAGAGGTAGTACAATTAAAATATAGCAGAGTATAAGTCAAAAGTAGCGTAAAGTAGAAATACTCAGGTAAATGACAAGTTCCTCAAACTGAACTGCAGCATTGGACTAAATGTTTTTAGTTCCATTCCACTGCTGAGCAGTAGCCA